ATATTTTCTCTTGTACCTACTGTCAGTATTCAGTTTCGCAGATTGTGTTTATGGCCCTGCCCTATTTGAAGTTGATAGTAGACCACTTCAACTGATGGTTTGCATATACAAGCTCACGTATCAAAGGCACTGGGAAATATTGCATGGCTCAGCTTGATAGAAAGGCGATTTTTTAACAGATGTGGGGGGTTCATCATACCTTTATGATGAAATTCAATGCTACAAAAACCCAGGCATCGGTTTTCTTCAACAAGATAAATGTCTCCGAACCGGAAATAATAATGTCAGGTCAGACAACTCCGCTTTCTGCTTCGATGAGTTTGTTGGGGGTTAAAATGGACATCAATGTGTCTTGGCACAATCATATCGTTGGAATTGCAAATGCTGCTCCTCAAAAGCTTGAAAAACTTTTCCAAACCAGAAAACTGTACACACCTCAGCAACTTCTGATGCTTCATGAAGCTCCGATAAGATCTTCTTTGGGGTATTGTTCTCATGTATGGAGTTTCGCCCCCAAACATACCCTGAAGCTGCTGGATTCCATCCAGAAAAGAGCCATCCACCTGATTGGAGACGCAACCATCACGTGCAACCTTGATAGCTTGGAACATCGAAGAAAGGTTGAATATTTGTCTCTCATCTATAGATACTTTTAAGGAAAGTGTTGAAGTGACTCGGCACATTTGATTCAACCAAGAGCGGAAAATATAAGAAATAATTGACGGACTGTGGCTGCTCATCGTTCTGAGGTTTAACTAAGTACACCTCGATCTTCACTGTTTAAGAACTCTTCCATTTGGAGAACTGCGTTCATGTGAAATAAACTTCCTGGGACCGTTTTTCCAAATGGATTTTACTTTCAGCGAAACAATGTGAATCGCCACTTTCGCACAGGCACCGTTCTAAGATCGCCTTAAGGATTTTTCTGTAGTGCTTGTGTTTCGTCCTTGAAAAAAAAGTTGCGTTGTCAACACCATGATGTAAATTTGAGACTGAAAAATCTAATTTCGATACCCACTTACCAAACCCCACTTCACATGTCATTCTTCTTGAATAATATATCTGAAACATATAATGAACCTTCACCTGACACCAGAACATTACGTCTATTACCTCCTCTAAGGAAAAAGTTAAAACCATAATACTCGGTAATAGTTTTTAGCTCTCTAATAGCCCGTTAATATTTCTTATTATTTTTTTTAATATTATCCATGCACGCATGCATATTAATTATCAGTTTTGTATATTGCTGTTCTCATTCATTTTTCGTTTTTTTTTCAATAATTACTAATCATTTTTCTGTTAAATTTAATTACAAATATATCACATGCATTTATATAATTAGACTTAGGAATGTGTAGCATTGCATACGAGCAACAGAAAATTATGTTTATTTGTAGTGTGTACTCGAATATGTATGTTAGGAATCACACTTTAAAAGGTAAGACCTCGTTATTCCTTAGCTCGCACAAGTTTCTCAACTTCTGAGGGTTGTTGTTCGTATGGGGGCGACAGCTGATTACCGGAAAAACAGATTTTTTTCTAAACAGATATAATGAGTCATTCTCCAAGGTTAAGTGGAAGAGACCTTTTCTTTCGATTGGGTCACCATTCAAAGTAGAGCGAACTTTACCTTCCGCTCTGCATTTCACTTTTGCTTGTATTGGATATGTGTGATCTCTCATCAATTGAATCTATATTATAATAATTAT